TTGGTCACCATGGCCAAACCTCAAGGTTTTGAGCTGGAATTGAAGCCCTTAGGATAAACATTGCCTTTCTTACCTCTAATTTCTCAAAGCTCTGTAAGACACTAAAGCTTCCAGCTTTGAAGCTCACAAGAGGAAGAAAAATAAAAATGGTGAGGAAAATGAGAGAAAAGTTTCAGTTTTCCTTCCAAGTTTACATCAACAAACATAAATGAAATTCAACCTTATTTTCAAATAATGGTCTAATTACCCTTTAGTCCTTCGTCTTTCAAGCCTAAATAAAAAATTCCATTTTTATCAACTTGTGGGATTTCCTACAAGCCTAATAATCTTATTCTTAACCCAACCATTTAAGTTGAAATTATTTAAACACTTTAAGCCCAATGACGATACCCAAAACTTCTAACTCGATTTCGGGTTGTTACAACTCTCCCCTCCTAAAATGAATTTCGTCCTCGAAATTTACCTGTTCTGAAAAAATGCGGGTACTGAAGTTGTATGTCGTCTTCAGTTTCCTAAGTTACTTCCCCCACTCCGTGATTTCTCCACAAGACCTTAAGTAGCAGTATTATCTTACTTCTTAGCTCCTTGACACTTGGGCCAAGATCTTTAACGGTTCCTCAACATAGGACATATATGGGCTCACTTCAATCCGCTCTAAAAGAATCACATGTGATGGGTCTGATCAGTAACTCCGAAGCATGGACATGTGGAACACATTATGAACGCACTCCATCTCGGGTGGTAAGGCTAGTATATAGGCTACAAAACCAACCCTATCAAGAATCTCATAAAGTCCAATGAAATGCGGGGTTAATTTTTCTTTCTGGCCAAATAAAAGGACATTTGTCCAAGGTGACACTTTAAGAAACACCTTGTTGCCCATACTAAACTTAATGTCCTTCCATTTTACATCCGCATAAGAACTTTGTCTATCAAAAGCTTTATTTAGTCAACTCTGGATCAATCGTACTTTATCCTCTACCTCTCAAATAACTCTGGACCAACCAACTTCTTTTCACTAAGTTCGGTCCAACACAAAGGAGTTCTATATTTTTACCCATACAACGCCTTGTAGGGTGTTATCTCAATGCTAGTTTGGTAACTGTTGTTGTATGTGAACTCGACCAATGGAAGGTGATCCTCCTAGCTACCTGTAAAATCAATGACACAATATCACAACATATCTTCCAGAATCTGGATCACCTTCTCAGACTGTTTATTAGTCTGAGAGTGAAAGGCAATGCTGAAATGTAACTTAGTAACCAAAGCCTCATGTAATGCCTTCCAAAATCTTGAAGTGAATCATGGGTCTCCATAAAAAATGATTGACGTGGTTACCCCATGAAGTCTCACAATCTCCTTGATGTAGATATGCACTAACCTTTCCAAAGAGAAGTCCATTCGCACTGTTATAAAGTGGACAGATTTGGTCAATTTGTCATTATTACCCAAACAACATCATGGTTTTGATGAATTCTCTATAATCTAGTAACGAAATCCATAGTTACCATATCATATTTCCATTGAGTTATTTGAATCAGCTGAAGTAAATCGGAGGGAGCCTGATGTTTTGCCTTCATTCACTGATAAACCAAACACTTGGACACGAACTCAAATACCTTTCTCTTTATACCCGTCCACCAATATAGTTATTACAGTTCTTGGTACATTTTATCACTTCCAAGGTGCACAGAAAGTGGACTACAATGGGCTTCACCAAGTATCCTTACCCTTAAATCCATATTAGCTGGTACACAAAGTTAATTTCAGAAATACAACACGTCCCCATCCTTTAACTTTGGCAGCTCACCTCGACGGACTTGTTCTGCCCTAGTCATCAAACGCTCATTTGACGATTCTAATTCTTTTATTTCCTTAAATAATTCTGGCTCAAACCGAAGTTCTTCTATTAAGCTTCCAACTGAAGTCAGACTCATCTTTGCTAACAGTGCTTGAAGGTCAGACATCGACTTGCGACTCAAAGCATCAACCACCACATTAGCCTTCCTTGGATGGTATTTTATGATGCAATCATAATCCTTCAGTAGATCAACCCACCGACACTGTATTAGATTCATCTCCTTCTGAGTAAACAGATATTTGAGGCTCTTGTGGTAGGTGAAAATGTAGCACTTCTCCCCGAAGAGGTAATGCCTCTAAATTTTCAAAGTAAATACTACTACGACCAACTCTAGATCGTGGGTAGGATAGTTATGTTCATGCGATTTAAGCTGTTGTAAAGCGTACGCCAATAACTTTCCCTCTTGCATAAGGACTCACCCTAAACCATTCAACGAGACATCTCTAAACACGACATATTCCTTTCCGGGGCATAGGTTGCGTGAAAACTAGTGCTTAAGTTAGAATCTCTTTCAACCCATCGAAACTCTGCTGATGTTTTTCATTCCAAATGAAAGGCTTATATTTTTAAAGGAGTTGGAAAAAAGGAGAAAAATCATAGAGAATACTTTTATGAAGCGACGGTAATATCTGACAAGTCCAAGGAAACTGCGCACCTCGGATAAGTTCTTTGACGACTCTCATCATAACACAGCTTGAATATTTTGGGGATCTACTCGAATACCCTCGATAGTTACCACATGGCCCAAAAAGGATACCTCGGATAACCAAAACTCACATTTGCTGAACTTTGCAAACAACTAACGCTCCTTGAGTATTTGAAGTACAATTTAAAGGTGTTTGTCATGCTCCTCCTCTGATAGAGAGTAAACTAAGATGTCATCGATGAACACCAAGACAAACTGGTCCAAATAAAAGTGGAACACCCGATTCATCAAATCCATAAAAACAGTGGGTGAATTGGTAAGTCCAAATGGCATCACTAAAAATTCATAGTGACCATATCTAGTCCTAAGCGTCATCTTCTCTATGTCCTCATCCTTAACTTTTAGCTGGTAGTAACCCAACCTCAGATATATTTTGGAAAACACTCTGGCTCCTCTAAGTTGATTGAATAAATCATCTATCCTCGGGAGCGGATACCAGTTCCTAATCGTGAACTTATTCGGCTGACTATAGTCGATGTATAGCCTCATCGACCCATCATTCTTTTTTACAAATAACATTGGTGCTCCCCATGGAAGTATACTCGAGCGAATGAACCCTCGGTCCAATAGTTCTTGAATCTGTACCTTAAGATTCTATAACTTGGTTCGTTCCATACGGTACGGAGTAATAGACAACGCAACTGATCCGAGTAAAACCTCGATGTTGAACTCCAATTAATGATTTGGCGATAATCTGGGCAACTCCTCCATAAATACCTCGGGAACGTTTCTCATAGTATGAATGTCTTTGAGCATCGGGCTAGGAATTTGAGTGTCTATCACATGGGCTAGAAATGCCTCACAACCCTGACGGGTTAATATCTGAGCAGCTAAGGCTGATATGATCCTAAAGGTACCTCGAAACTCACCGCTAGTCATCACTAATTTTGTACCATCCTTGCGTTTAAACTTAAGTTGCCTAGCTTTGCACTTTAACCTCACATCATGCTCAGTCAACCAATCTATTCCAAAGACCACATTGAACTATCAGAAGGGTATCGCCATAAATCAACGGGAAAGACTTGACCTTGAATTTTTACTGGACACCTACAGTGGACCTTGTCCAGAAGCACATACAGTCTCAAGGGGCTCGAAACTTTCATTTTAACCTCAATATCATCAAAAAAAATACCCCACTCTTGGACAAGATCATGATACAAATACGGATGAGTAGAACCAAGGTCAATCAATGATGTAACTAGAGTTCCACAAATAGTAAAGTTACCCGAGATGACGTCTGTTAGCTCGTAGTCTTCCTAAGCCCTCATAGCGTACTACCTCAAAGGGACCCTAGCCTCAGGACCAACTACTAATCGAGTAGTGCCCCTGCTCTGCTGCCATACTACCAAGCTACTACCTTTGTTAACTGATCCTAGGCTTCTTTGAACTACTGGGTTAATCTTTGAGGAGCTGATGGTGTTGCGCTACCTCCATTGAAGCAGTCTCGAATGTCACTTACCGTAATGCTTGAATTGTGGGGGCTATGATCCTCTACCAAAACCTCTGGTGCTCGCCACTAAAGCTAATGTCAATGGTCTCCTATGCTACCCCGATCATTGGTAGAGTCCAAAACTTTGTCCAGTCCTCTTAGACTACGATGGTGAGGACCTCCCTTCTCCTCGAGAGTCCTTGGCCCTCTTGGCTGAAGACTGAGATGGCCTTGAAGAATCTAGTACTCTTCAGCTCTAGTCTCCCAAACCACTCATCAGACTGGCCTTCCTCAAAAGAACCCTCTCAATTATCTTAGCCTGGTGGGTCAGCTCTGTGAAAACTCGTAGGGAATCAACAGCCAACTGCGTGAGGATATCTATATGCATTCTCTCAATGAGTCTCCTATAGCGGTGGTCCTTGGTCATCACTAACTCAGGCGCGTAACGACTCAAACGAAAGAAGTCACGCTCATACTCCATCACCGATTGATCTACTTAGACAAGATGGGTGAACTGGTCTTTCAGGTCATCAATACGAGCCACCCCAATGTACTTCTGCCTGAACTCCTCTAATAAGTACTCCCATGTCAACCTCGCGAGATATAAGGCTAGCTTGAGTATCTCCCACCATTCGACGACATCACCTTTTTGTAGGGCAGTGATACACTCGAGCTTACCTTTCGGGGGTAAAGTGTAATTGTCTCAATATGTGAAGTGTCTCACAGAGTCATTGGTTGATGATTATCGGGTCACTATTTCCAATGCCATAGAAGTCTATGGTCTTATAGCTTCGAAGTCGCTCTACGGGTGACTCTTGAGATACTACAGGTGGTGGCGCGAGTGGGGTATGTGCGACAAGTGCTCTCGGAATATCTCACATAATATTCCTAAGGATATTTGTGAGGTCCTTGAACAAGGTGGCCTCATTGATCCCTACCCCTCTAGGATTCCCATCTTCTTAGAATCCGGAACGTACTCATAACCAGTATCTCCAGTGAGTGAGGTACGACTTTCATTGTGATCCTTTTGACTATGAACTAGGTCATCGGCCATATACTACAAAGTTCAAAAAAGGAGTTATTATTGCCATTCTAGATAAACAAGTACAATAACACTCTAGGGGTATGTATATCACCGACTCTTGTTGACTCTAACTCGCGGGTCCTAGGAACGACTAAACTTGATGCTCTAATACCTTTAAATATAACACCCAAATCCGATTTAAAACAAAACTCAATGGGTTTGGGCATTACACGGGACCATCAAAGTGACTAACCCAAATACAAAAAGTGGTTAAGTTTACAAAACAATGGAGCTCCCAAAGAAATTCTCAAAATACAGTAATCTAAGAGTTATGACTCAAATACAAAAAGGGTTTATGAAAATACATACACACTAAGGTAATAAAAACATACTCTGTAACTGCTGATATCTGGAATCCAACATACTGATGACAAGCTCTTGGGTTCGACACTTACTAACCTACGAAAAAAAATAATTCCAAACATTGAGTTACGAGCTTAGTTCAATATAAACGACTTCACTATACTACATGCATCCATTAACTATGAACACTTAGAAAGTTAAGTCATGTTGCAATGGAATACATTAAGCATAGATCATAGCATAAGGATATGTAATAAAGCATCATAAGAATCATAATATGGGTTTGCCATTAAATCATGGAAGTGCCTTAGCACTAATACTAAAATGCCTTAGTACTGTTCGAAAAGTGCATTCATAGTTATACAAAAGTGCCATAGCACTGGAAAGAGAATATGTATATCTCTACTTATATATTCGAATAGGACATGCATACGCTCAAGTAACCCAAGTGTCATCATTATTTCTCGAGTGTCAAACAAAGGCTATTTTATGCCACATGATAAGTGTTGTTGTTCATAAGGGTTTCGAATAATATTATCATTTGTAGTATTATTTAAGAAGCCTCAAAACCCTTATAGTCCCCCTTTTAAGCTTAGGAAGTTAACAAAATTTTCTGCCCAAAACAAGATGTCAATACTGATACTGAGCCTTTCAGTATCTATACTCGCCTTAGGGTATCGATATTTCCACGAGTATTGATACAAAATTTAGCTTCGATGTTTCGATTTAATTCCCGTATCGATACCCTAATGTAGAGTATCGATACTCTCTCATTGGTATCGATACTCCCATGAGTATCAGTACCAAAATTGCATTATGAAATCCTCAAATTGTCCCAGTATCAATACTATCCCTTGAGTATCGGTAGTAGACCTTGAGTATCGATACCCATTGAAGGAGTATCGATACCTCTTTCACGAATTACTTTATTTTTACCTTGTTCAAAAGGGTAGTATCGGTATTTTTTTAGTATCGATACCCTTGCTCGATCATGCCCTGTTTAGGCACAAAAGTGACTTCCTAAAGTATTTCATAAGCCCCTTAAGGCTAACAAATGTTTATTAAGTCTTATGGGGTCTATTAACATCATAAAGAGTCATTTTAACACAACAACAAAATTATATAAGAACGTTGCCATTAAAACCCATTTTGCAACCATGAACACTACAAGCAAACAAAACATAGTTTCATGACCTATATATGGTAGAGAGAAGTTATTTATGTGTTATCTTAGCTCTAGCTGATAAAAGAGTCCACAAAAGGTCACCCTAGCACAAGTTTCTATTTGTTCTTACTCTTGGAGCTTTCTCACACATCTCGCACTGTCCAAGCAAAACAAAGGAATTAATATCACGTTTTGAAGCTATAAGGGATTAGAAACATATCTCTAAACACTTAGAAAAAATTTAGAACCACTCTTAGTCCCTAAAACAAAACACCTCTAAAACCCATACTTTGGTCACCATAGCCAAACCTCAATGTTTTGAGCTAGAATTGAAGCCCTAAGGATGAACATTACCTTTCATACCTCTAATTTCTCAAACTAGCTCTACAAGACACTAAAGCATCCACCTTTGAAGCTCGCAAGAGGAAAAAGAAGAAAAATAAAGAGAAAATGAGAGAAAAGTTTCAGCTTTCTCTTTCCCGTTTACATCAACAAACATAAATGGAATTCAACCTTATTTTCAAATAATGGTCTAATTACCTCTTTAGTCCTTTATCTTTTAAGCCTAAATAAAAATGCCATTTTTATCAACTTGTGGGCTTTCCTACAAGCCTAATCATCTTATTCTTGATCCAACCATTTAAGTTGAACTTATTTAAACACTCTAAGCCCAATGATAATACCCGAAACTACTCACCTGATTTTCGTGGTGTTACAATATTTTTAACATTATCTTCATATTTTAACTAGAAATGGGTACATATCAGGTTTTGGTCAATCTGACTCTGACCCCAAAATAAGAAGTCTTCATCCGACTTCGATCGTATTATTTTTTATTATTCACCCACCCCGAATCTACCCCAAGATTTAATATTAAAACCCGATTCTAAATGGACCCAACCTGATATATAGTGTAAACACCGATGAAAAGCTTGCATGCCTATAGTTTGAAGATAGTAACGTTTGTAAGATCCAGAAATAGAAGAAACTAAAAAATACATATTGAATAAAAGAAAAATAAAGTGGAAAAGATATAGAACATATTGTTAAAGAAAAATGAATGTTTTTTTATGATTATAAGTTTGTAACATGAAACCCTTAACTTTGGGGGCTTTTCCTATGAACAAATTATATGTTGGATGAAGTGTTCAACTCCAACTTATTGATAGAAAAATCTTAAACACAACCACAATAAATCTGAAATTTCTTGAACATATCTTCTTATTCTCTCAAAGTTTTATATTTTTCTAAAATAGAAAAGAATGAAACAGATAGTGAAAAAAGTTCTAATGTAATTCTAACAATCTGAGATTTTATTTTGAAGACCAGATTTTGATCTCAAGAACAATTGGAAAAATCAAGAAAGGAAAATATTAGTAACAAAAGAAAAAGTTTTATCTTGAGAAAGATTGAAATTAAGAACAAAAGGAAAAGAGAAGGAAAAAATAGGGAGAGGAGAAAAGAATGAAAAGGCTGAAGAAAAGAAAATATTGAAACAAAATAAGGAAATGAGAAAAGGAAAAAAACCCTAAATTATATATATATATATATATATATATATATATATATATATATATATATATATATATATATATGACATTTTTGTAAATATATTAACAATATATATTATTTATATCATGCCAGGTCGGGTTAGGAGTTTTTGACCTTAAATTTGAATTTGACCCAAACTTGATTATATCTCTTTCAAAACCCAACTCGAATTTTAAAAGAAAAAATTCGACTCTATTTGACTAGGTCAGGTTGGAACCCACCTGGTATGAGTTATTTGTCCATCCCTAATTTTAACTTCTAATTAATTTTTTATACTTGAGGTTCAAATGATATAATCTTAAAAAATATGTTTGATTAATACCTACATCGAAAAGGAAGAAATGTTGGTATTAATTATAACTGTATAACATTAAACAATGTTATTTCTATTGTATAAAATACTACACTACATTAATACAATAATAATATTAATCTGCATAATTAGTACTACTCCACTTTTAAACAATAATATTATCCAAGTACATAATTAATAGTAAAATATAATAAGAAAATAACATTATTCAATTACATAATCAGTACTACAACACATTTAACTAACAATATCATCACTTCTCCATAAAGATGTGGTGACTTATCTTCAATAATTTTTTTCAATGATTTAACAATCTCACCAAGTTTCTTACAATCTAATCATCCTCTACACTTTCTTGAATAATTTCCCTTTTAAGCTTTGATGTATCAGATGAAGAAAATTTACTTCTTTCCTCATCAACATCTTTAGTATCGAAGTTTAACAGACATTGAAATTTCATTTGTATCATCTAAGTCTATATCAACAAATGTTTTGGCAAAACTTCCTTTCACCATATCTTTATCAAAATAATCTAGACTGGAAACAGTATGCTATTGAGGTTAGTAGCTAGTTTCAATGGAACAATTGTGAACTAATGCTTTTAAGAAATTCAGTTACATTTATTTATTTGGCAGCATAGTTTTTAAAATTCAAGAAATTCTTATCCACCTAGTCTTCAAAATGTGAATGGTTGGGTTAAAAGGATAGAGTTCTATTTTGATATCAAATATGCTTAACTATAATAGTATGAACAAAGATACTAGAACTAGGTTTGATTATTAACATGCCCTTTTATATCTTGTTAACTACTCATAAAATAAATGTGATACTTGTTATTGAGATTAAAAGATATGATTTTCTCTGTTTCAATATCAATTTATTTTTATGTAAATTAAACTAAATATTATTTTGATTGATTAAATAAATTTGTTTAAGTGCAATGTCTGTGAAAATTTTAAGCACTATAAAGGTTGCAAATTTAAACTTTTGAGCACTGCAGCGATTGTTTTCAACATCAGTTAACCTATAAATATATCATGTCAATTGCAATCTCATTTTCTAAGCAAGTGAACAAAAATATTAAAATTACAGTAGCTCAAAGTAATTAAATTAAAAGGAGTTTCCAAACATCTCACCCACCTAAGGTGTTTTATTCATTGTTGTCATAACAATTGCTATAAATTTATTCAAGTGAAAGACACCAACAAGATAAAAAAACTACTTTTTTACATAGAATTTTTATGAATGAAGTTTTTTGCCCAAATTAAAGAAATATTCTCTAAAAATCTAAAGAATAACATAAAATTTTCAATATTTGAATATGGGTTAAAAATTTAGACAAAACATAAATTTTTTATAAGCACAAAAAAACAACAACATAAAGAGATAAAGAAAAAAAAATCATAAAACCTAAGTTGAAAAGATCAAGAACTCATTTCTCAAAGATCAACAAAAAGTGCGCATGAAGCTTACCTTTGATAAAGAAGTTGGAGGGACAGTGAGGGTAAAGAAAAATTGATGAAAGCAAAAGAGTTGGTGAAGGGAAGAAAATCTACAAAAAGCGAAGATTGTTGATAAGTGGGTTATGGTGATGAGCTATGT